GGCGGGTCGCCGACAAGCCGAGGGGTGTCTTCTCGATGGCATTTTGCAGCACTGCACGCGCGTTACCGCAGATCAGCACGCGGCTCTTCAGCCACGACTGTCCCCTTCAGCAACCCGCAGCGTCAGAAGGTGACTGGCAGAGTCGTGTTGAGATGGAAGCATGTTTCCACCAAACCTTCTGGCACTCTCTGGAGATTTACTACCGGGATTTTTCCCCCTCTACAACTGGGCTGGATAACCATTAGCTACAGAGTACCTGCTTTTGCCTAGCAGCTGAATAGTGCATTGGTAATGCATTCCTAATGTATGTCTTGGAAATGAGTGTAATAAAACATAAAGACAGCATCTTCTGAGATGTAGTTTATACATCAAAGATTAATTCAGTGTAAGAAGCCACCTGGTTCTTCATTGCCACTGACAAGAACGCTCTATCCCCCAGCTCAGCATTTCAGTGAAAACAAGGATTTTTGCAATCAACGTCAATTTTAACATAATACTGTAAATGAAATATCAAAAGGAAAAGCATTCTAATCACGGTTATCAAACCTTCACCGAACGTATTTAGCGACCAAGTTTCATTAATTCGACATTTGAGTTTAAATAGAGGCAAATAATCACAGGGTTTTAGTTACTTGCTGCAGCTTCCAGCTTGCGCTTGTGCGGAGGATCCTCGATGATCCGGTTTATGTCGCCGCGGTGCTTCAGGTCCACCGGCTTCTCCCAGACCGACAGCTGCATTGTAGGGTTGAAGAAGAAGACCCGGTCATCTCCCGTCCAGACTACACACCTATGCGTAGGGACAGGCCGTGCTTAGATAACGTCACGTACACCCACGAACAAGAAATCAACCCGCGGCTGGCTGACCTCATCCCTGTCTGCGGTGGCTGGTGAGACTCGTCCCGGACTGACAGCCTGCCCCCGGCCCCGCCAGCCCACCCCAGTCGCCCTGGGTAGAGCAACTCTCTCCATAGCAACAAAATGTCATAGAAATGGTCTAAACAACCCAAAAAAAGCAGTAAGTGAAGTATTCCATCACAGCAGGGAAAAAGAACCAGGCGAGGAGGAACGCCATGGTGCGCTCAACAAGTGAAGCCATAGCAAAATACATCTCACATTCTAAAGCCATAGCTGGGAGCAGCAAGCGGCAGAAACCTCGGCAGTGGGGCTGGGCAGCCATGGGCTCGATGGCCGCGATGCCCATAGCCAGGGCTGAGTGGCCATGGCTTCAATGCCCATGGCCAGGGCTGGGTGGCCATGGCCTCAATCGCCTCAACGCCCAAGGCCAGGGCTGTGCAGCCATGGCCTCAATGGCCTCAATGCCCACGGCCAGGGCTGAGTGGCCATGGCTTCGATGGCCTCAATGTCCATGGCCAACGCTGTGCAGCCATGGTCTCAATGGCCTCAATGCCCATGGCCAGGGCTGGGTGGCCACGGCCTCGATCGTCTCAACGCCCAAGGCCAGGGCTGTGCAACCATGGCCTCAATGGCCTCAATGCCCATGGCCAGGGCTGGGTGGCCATGGCCTCAATGGCCTCAATGCCCATGGCCGGGGCTGGGGGGGCAAT